AAGTAGGATAGAAATCTTAAATTGGAGTACTGTTGCCTTCGCTGGCATATTTATGCCACTAGTGGAGGTAAAAGAGATGGCAACAGTAAGAAGGTCATAGGTTTTGCAGTAATGAACAAAACAAAACTGATGGTAAAAAGACAACTGCTAGCTCTGACATTTATTTTTGAATTTGTGCTTTGTACGTGTAGCTTGTTCAATCCTCTGTGCCACTGAATGATTGAAGCTGCCCTGCTAGAATGTCTTAGATCTAAGGATGTCTTGGCCCCAGAAAAGAGGGATTAAAACACAGGTGGTTTAGAGCTTCTCCTTCCTGTCTGCAGGAAAATAAAAGCACTAGTGTGGTCAACTTTTATGCTAACATAGGATTCGGGTGTTAAATAGTAGAAATTGCAATAGTTGGTCTGAATTTTAGATTATTACTTAATTAGCGGAATACACAGAACAAGATGATATTATAACTTGTTTTAAGTTTTTTTCTTGAACACCAAATAGTGAACAATTGTAACATCATGAGGACACTACCCTGGATGTTTTACCAAGATTTTAAGAGGTGCATTTTCCAACTATGCTTTCCATTTTATCTCAATAATCCAGCCATTTGCTGAAGTATGCTCTTTATGGATGTACTCATTTACATATTAATGAAAAATAAATTACATAAAATACAAGTAAAATAGATAAAACACATTCATGTTAGTATATATTTTATGTATGTATATGTATATGTCTAGAAACTTTAGTTTAAAAAAACTCCAAAAAATTTGTTGACTCATGGGTCAGTGTAAGTGCTGTGCCTTAATTATTATTAAACAAGGAACCACCCCCTTCTCTGAATAGAGTGGTAAAAGACAAAAATTTAATGTGCCTTCGAAGAGCATAAAAGAAGTACAGATCCTAACAAATGACCCCCCCCCCACCAAATAACCATGAAAAATGAGGACACAATGACAAGGTTATGCTGTTTATTTCATGGATAACTGAAATTTGCCTCTCTCTGACATGCATGAGTCTTGGATTCTTAGGCCACAAATAGATCTGGCCTTAGTTGATACGTGGTGGTCCTCCTTGCAAGATATCCTCTCAAAGTTCAAATCTCACAAGCTGTAAATAATTTAAATTTAATTAATTATATATGCTTTAAATTCCATAATCTGTTTCTGGAGGCACTTTGCAAATGAAAAATGTTAATATTATTTACTGTGTTCCTAAAAAAGATGGGATTTTCTATGTATAGGTGGGGTTCAATATAGATAGAGTTTTCTGTGTAAAGTCATGGTATACAATGGAGAAGAGGCTCTTATCACCTTAGTGAGGTCATACATTTCTGAAGTTTGGATAGATGTGCACATCTGAATTCCAAGAGGACAGGAATAATCACAAATGAACCAAAGGATGCTCAAAGTAATCTGCCAAATGCCAACTCAGACTGCAACACAGTCTCTATCAAGCAGTGACATTGTAATCATTAACACAGAGAACAAGAGGGGAGCAGAGATGTAACAGAAGTGCTTGCCCTTTCCCCATCTCTCCAGTCAGCCTTAGCACTATTGACATTTCGACAGACATGATACATTATTGGGTAATATATCAGCAAGAGCTTTGTTTGTGAGAAGAGTGGGAAGCTGTGGACAACCTAACTGTAAGAGTATGTCTCATTCTTCCCCTGCCTGGATAGGGAAAGGAAGTATTCCCAGCCCTTTGTTGGTATGCCCATTGTATTTAGGTTATGTTGGTTTCCTGATTGCTGAATGACTTTCTGGTTGCTGAATGTTTTTAAATGCTGAAATAATTTAACTAGCAAATGCCATGATCATTTCATTTTTTAGTATGCTGTACTAATACTGAACTTGGGGTAACACTTTAGAAACCTAGATAGTTTGAAGGTGATATCACTCAATATTAATGGACTCCATAAATAAGTGGCATATAATAAAAACAGTAAAACATTTACAGTGGATACTTTCTTCATGAGACCCATTAGGGCAGCTACATTGCAAAAGATGTGTTTCACCCACCCTGGAGAGCAATACTGCACAAATGATGGTAGAGGTCTTGCATATAAGAGATAGTACTGTCATTTCCCCCCCTAAATTCTTCTCTTATATAGTGCTAAAAGACACAAGAGGGCAGGTCATTTTTGGAAAGGAAGTAGTTCTTGACAATTGTATTATGATTTTAACTTTGAATAGGTTTGATGGATTTTAGCTGAATTTTAAAATACTGTTTGTATTTAATTCTGTTTTAATTTTTGTATATTTTAAATTGGATACCTGTGCTTTTATGTCAAGCCACTTTGAGTCTCCTTTGGGGATAATAAATAAATAAGTAAGTAAGACCTTAATTGAGTCAAGAAAAAAGTATGAAAGAGCTATTATAGTTTGGAAAATAATTTCTTACTTCTAACATTAGTCTGCAAAAGAACTTGCACTTCAGTAGAATTACCATATTTTCTGCCATATAAGCCTACTTTTTAACCCAACCAAATCTTCTCAAAAGTCAGGGGTCGTCTTATACACCGGGAGTCGTCTTATAGAGCGGGTGCTGAAACTTCCAATCCGGATTGAAGAATCTGTGGTTGATGCATATGGTGGGGGGAGCTCAAAAATGGCAATGGCCGCGTCCCTGCTGTATGCAGCGATTGTATGAAAGCATCAAGGGAGATGCTGTACAAGTACGGTAGAAGAAAATCCATTCATCAGGATTTGTGAAATTAATGTGGTCCCGATGGTGAGGTGAAGGGGCACCTCACTGGGAAGGTGTAAGTGAAGGGCGGAGCAAGCTGCAGGTGTCCGGGGCGCCCAGGACATGGAAAAAAAGAGATAGAGTGCTCTGGGCCCAGAAAAAAAAACTCTTTTACTTGTCTGGCCCACCCTTGTATCCTATTACCATACCTCCTCCTCTACCTCTCAGATCGCGCTCCTGAAGACTGCAGTGAAGTGGTGCAGGTGTGCAGGTGCAAGATCTGAGAGGCAGAGAAGGAGGTGCAGTTATAAGAAAATTACCATATTGAAATCAAATCTGATGCTTTTTAAATTTTTATTTGGTGTGTGTTGGAAGAGGGGTAGTCTTATACGGTGAGTATATCCCAAACTCTATATTTTAACTGGAAAAGTTGGGGGTCGTCTTATACGCCCAGTTGTCTTATATGCCGGAAAATACAGTAAATCAGGCTACACACTTAGGTACACAAATAAGGCAAGGATTACCCTGCATCCTCTGCTATTAGCTTTACAACTTAACGGCTAGTAAGAGTCTCTTTAGTAGTTGGAGAACTACCAAAGAGATCCTAATCAATCAGACAGCAGTCTACAGTACATATACATTCTCTATACAACAACCAGGATGAGCTAAGCTCTTTCATGTCTGGGCTGGAAAGAGTGCAGAGGGGGTGGTATAATCATCAATAAGCAAGTGGAAAAATCACTTCCCCCTTTGAGCTTGTCGCCTCCTGATTCACCAGTTATTATTATTATTACTATTATTATTATATTTCTACCCCACTTTTCTCTCTTGTGGCTCACAACATTAAAAAAATAAGACAATTTTAAACTTACATGATGTAAATATTAAAATATAATTAAACACAGTGATTAAAACAAATCTGTTAAAAACATATCAAACATATTAAACAAGCAAAAAACCCCCAACAAAAACAACAATTAAAACACCATGCAGAATACCCTGGCTTCTTCTTAAAAACACTATGGTTTTAAAGCCTGCTTTAATAAAAAATGATCAGATTCAGTATCTCAAGGAACAGGTATGATTAGTACACAAGTTTTAAATGTGCGAAAGCACTCCTTGCCACTGCAGAAACTGGGCCCCCCAGGTTAATGCTGAGTCTAGGAGTACACCCAAACTGCAAACCTGTGTCTTCAGGAGGAGTGTAACTTCACCTAGCACAGGCTGAATCCTTAATCCCTGGATTGCCTACTAACCTCTGTTTTATCTGGATTAAGTCTCAATTTGTTTGTCCTCATCCAGTCCATTACTGATTATCTTGGCTGGAAAATACTCTTGCTCTGGTTTCTTCCCTAACTCTGGCAGCAGTGGCACACCCCTCTATCCAGCTCCTGGAATCGTTGGCAATTTGGGAGCTAGACATGAGAAGCACAACACCAGAGCTAGAGAAGAAGCCAGAACAAGAGTGTAAGCCCAGGTCCTCGCCAGCCAAGGAAGGGACAGCAACAGTGGTTGCAGCAGCAACAATGGGTGAGATAGGAGGTTGTGTTAGAAACGGAAGCTGATGATTGAAAAACAACTCTAGTTTCCAAATTGCTGTGAGTCATAACAGTTGTGCCTGTCAAAAGGTTGTTCATGAGGAATTTGTTACTTTGTTTAGTTCTACATAGGAACTTTGTAACAGTGTGCAACTAGTTATTTTCTTAAATAGCTCTCTGCTACAAACTAGAAGTTTTACTACATTAATTATGCTAAGGATATAGTTTGAATAGTTGAATAAGACTTGTTTGAAGATGTCTGAGAAGATTTTCACTACTTTCTGAAATATGCATTGTCTTTAACTTTAACTTATTATTACTTTAACACAGTTATAATTTAGTGTATGTCTATATGTTGTAATATTACTATGGGGTGGCAGGTACATTAGTTATAAAAACTGTCATTTACATTCCATCCTGTAGTGAAAATTAATCTGGGCTACTAGTTTTAATGGGTGAAGCAGGTGCTTACACATAACAATATATCTATGTACATAGTGAATCCGTACGATTGTACCCATAGTAATCACTAGATACATGGATTGAATCTATCGTAACAACTTACTGCATAGCGCTGCTTATTTCATATAGTTCTCTGGCATTCATATTTCTTGATTGCTTAATTGAATTTTTAGAAACACAATGGAAATATACTTTATAGTTAAATACTGTCCCTCTCCCTTCCCCAATCATTTCCCATTCCATTCCCTCCCATGTTTCATCATCCTCCTTTTTGCATTTTCCCCTCCTCCTTTGCTATGTTCTGTTCACTGTTAGGAAGGGACACCTCAGAAGAGCCATTTCAGCTCAGCCCGGCATCGTCAGAGGCTAGCAGAACCAGCGGCTACAAAAGTGAGTGAACTTAAGGCAAACTGAAATATATTAAACAAAGGAATGAATTCTTGGCTTTTCTCAAAGTTGTTATGTATTTCATATTAGCATTTCATTTGTTTAAATATACCCCTGTTGTTCCTTTAGACTTACATTAGAAGAGGTACCAACAGTGAATTCTTAATTTTTTAAAGCTAGTGCTACTAAATGGGTTGTGCGTATTTAAACAAATATCTTTAACATTAATTTCTGTTGAATGCACTTGTTGAACTTTGGATTAATTATCTTTTCACATAACTGTCCAGAAAAACAAATGAACAGTAAGCAGGTAGGAAACATGATCCCCATAACCATAGTTTCATGAAAATGTTACCAAAGCGATGAATCAAAGGAATCTTAGAGAAGAGAAATTCACTGTTTGGATATCCCAGAAATAATGGCTGTCAAGGAAGACAGTGATGCAGTCTTTGCAAAAAGGTTCTTAGGCAGAAGGACAGATAGCTTTTCCTATCTGTCCCTCTGGCTCTGCATGGTAGTCTTTCTTTGCTTGTTTCTTTCACATGAGCAATGAGCGTATGAAGAGCCATGCAGATTCAGACCAAATGCCTCTCTGCCCATACAGTTACCAAAAATATAACATGAACAGAGCAGCACCCTCTCCTTCTTGTGTTCCCCAACAAATGACATGGTATTTCTTCTACAGAAGATAATATTGGAAAAATGGGTTAGTTTGTACACAATTGAATTTTTTTTGATAAAAATGAAATGGTAGTACCAAAAACCTAGTTGCACAACATTTTAGTGTTCTTGGCTTTCAGGCACCTGTTCTGGAGGGGAAAATTCAGAAATGCTTAAAGAGGGAAAAAGTTGAATTAAGTTAGCAGGGATAATGGTTTTCTGAAACACTGTATTTGTAAATGATATCCATTGCAATTGCACACATAATAAAATAATTATTATTATCAGAAAAGACTTAGTTATTCTTTCACCTAGCACATTATGGAACTGATATCAATGACAGTTTTTTATATCTGCAGCTATTGTTGCATTTTATTGAATTTTTAACTAGTAGGGTTTTATTATAGTTATATAATTTGTTATTGTTGTTGTGTTATTGTTTATAAACTTGTTGTATTCTCTGTGTTGCACTTTTGAGTGCTTCTGTGGGCCGCCCCAAGTCCCTTTGGGAAGATGGTGGTGGAGTATAAATAAAGTATAATGATAATAATAATAATAATAATAATAATAATAATAATAATAATTACTTTAGGCAACTGGCTGCTGTATAAGCAGTATGCAGTTCTGTATCATGTTATACAACTCTGAAGGTTCATGGAAACAGTCAGAATTTGTATTTCTTTGTGTGATCCCATCTTTAGAACTACGTAACCGCTAGTTAGATACACACTATTTTGGATTGTTTGTAAATGCAGAATGAATAATTTTATTATCCCTCCCTTCTATGAGCCATCTTTAAAAATATTTTGAAGTTAATTCTCATCACTAGTGGATGACAGCATTTTGGAGGGAAGACAAGCTAGAGTGTTGAACCTAATGCTTTCCACAATTTTGGTTTGAGAGCCCCCCCCCCCCAATATTGCAAGGGACAGTACAGAGGAAGTTCACCCAGGCTCCTACTGGTGGTTCAAATGATGCAGATGTTGTTGTGTGCTAGGTATTGAAACACAGTCTGTCAGAACTCTCCTCATAGTTGCCTTCTTGCCAGTTGCTCCAAATTCCCGGATTCAAGGATATTGAATCATGACAGTTAAAGAGCTATCAAATTGCATTTATTCTATTTTGCAAAGGCACCCTAAGTCTAATTAAGGAAAGCATAGAACTAACTATGACAACTTCACTATAACCAGCCAGCCATTGTGTTGCGACCCACAGAACACAGATTGTCTTAAACAGCAATTGAGATGCAAATAATAGTCTTTTTAACACATTGAGTCTCAGTTTGGGAGAAAGGTGGGATGTAAATTCAATGAAAAATAATAACAAAATAGATCTGTTCAAAGTATGTGTCAAAGTGTTTTAATGGTTCTTGAAACCCAATTCTGTTTTAATTACAGTCTTTTATTTATTATTATTGTGAGCTGCCCTGAGTCCTGTCTTGGAAAGAAAGGTGACTATAAATAAAGTAGATAATGACATCAGTAGTGGCTTTGTATTAAATTCTGGAAATCACCCAGGCTTCTTGTATGGTGGGCCCTGTTTCTTATTTTTTACTGGTAATATTTGGAGGGCTTAAATATTTAAAGGTACTGTATCCTGGCTGATCTTGGAAGCTACAGAGAGTCAGCCCTGGTTAACAATTGAATGGGGGGCACCAGTGAATGCCAGGTGCTGTAGAGTATATTTTAGAGGAAGAAAAGCCATCTGTGAGCATTCCTTTCCTTAGAAAACCTTATGAAATTCATGAGGTAACCATATGTCGACAGGCGACTTGAAGATACAAAACCACACAATACACGGTAAAACAAAAGCGGTTGTTTTTTTCTTATAGCCTTTTGCTATAATGACACAATGACAACGTGACCAGTATCTTCAAGGTCATAACTTTGATATCTACTAAACCCATTATATTTTCAAGAGAGAAAACAAATGGATTCACATTGTAACTTTCAGCATTACTACTTGTCAAAAATAGTATAAAAATGTCTTATGTTGCAATGTTTGTGAGTACTTGAAATGATAGGAAATATGTGAGTGTGAAATGATTTGCTGCTGGTCAGCTATGTAATCTTTTTCAGTAAGAAGTAGGAAAGGGAGATGGCGGGAATAACAATATCCTTTCTATTGAAAAGAAAATCCACATCTGTTGTGTGCTTTTTATTCTTCTTCACAGTTTCCTCAGTTTTCTGTAGCAAGGTATCTACAACTATAGAAATTGTAAATGCGCTCCACTGTAGAAATCTGTGTATGGGAACACATTGTAGGATTACTGCCCTAACAGCAAGAAAGCTATATTAATTAGAGAGAAAACCGACATTATGGAAATCTTTTTTTTTCATTATTTGCTCATTTCATGATTCTGTTTGGCTTCTGTTATCTCAGGCCTCAGCAGGAGGCTGTTTTATCAAGATTGTTGTGTTCCAAATCACGTTTCTAATATATCTATGGAATCTGACCTGGCAGCAATTTACTGCTGCAAGATGTTACCTTGATATCAGTTCTTGAAGGAAGATCATATATTTGAAGAATATCTTGAGTGGATAAATGGGATTATCTTAAGAAGATTTACACTGTTGAGCATTTCAAATCTTTTTTGTCTGCTGTCATAGAAGGGCATTATAAGGTTATGGAGAAGTATCAGTTACTACATCCCCATGGATATGCAGGTATTAAAGATGTACTAAATGATCTCCTAGGTTGCACATTTTACCTGGCCGCCAGGAATAAATGGACCTTCTTTCTATTAGTTCAGAAATCAAGCTCTGTAGTAGCAATTAGGGTAAGTAATTACTGTTGTAATTACTTCTAACTTTCAAGCAATTACTGGATAATATAAACCACTTGCAGAAGACTTCCATTATTTCTTACGTGAGAATAAAAGGAAACTTATGAGAAATGCTTCATACTGCCTCCTTGCCAGAGGGTCTATTGTGGTTCCAAGGTGATGGGTGGTTTTTTTTTTTTTGCAACACTGCTCTGGTCTCAGAAATGCCAGGTTACATATTTAAGGTCTCATTTGAAGGAGAAGTGATTGTTTAACACCAAATCAGGTGATGCCTTTTCCAGGACTCAGAAAATTGAGGTAACATATAAAGTAAGAGTCTGTGCCACACAGCGGTTCTTCAAGAATGGTTGCTTATTAGGAATACTGGTTCCTATCATATTTCCTACTGTGGGAGCAACTCACATGGTCTCCTGCCAGTAGATCAGAGATGCTTACTTCTTGGGAGGAGAGCAATGACCAATCTTGTTAAAACAGTGTAGAGACATCACACTGGCAACGAAGATCCGCATAGTTAAAGCAATGGCATTTCCCATAATCACCTGTGGATGTGAGAGCTGGACCATAGGGTAGGCTGAGCGAAGGAAGATAGATGCTTTTGAACTGTGGTATTGGAGGAAAGTTCTGAGAATGCCTTGGACCGTGAGAAGATCCAACCAGTCTATACTTCAGAAAATAAAGCCCAACTGCTCATTGGAGGGAATGATAGTAGAGGCAAATATGAAGTACTTTGGCCACATCATGAGGAGACAGGAAAGCTTGGAGAAGACAATGATGCTGGGGAAAATGGAAGGAAAAAGGAAGAGGGGCCGACCAAGGACAAGATGGGTGGATGACATCCTTGAAGTGACTGGATTGACCTTGAAGGAGCTGGGGATGGTGATGGCCGACAGGGAACTCTGGCGTGGGCTGGTCCATGAGGTCACGAAGAGTCAGAAACAACTGAACAAATGAACAACAACAATAGGAACATGTTGTAACAAATTGGTGGTATATCATAGTCAATCAAGATGGCTATGTTGTGAAGTTCACTCCATGACCCTGAAATCAGGTATTGCATTCTAATGTAGATTATGCCTGATTGGAGGGAGAAAACACATGGTATAATTGCAAAGAAGCCATAGTGCCAGTTCTGCCAAAGTAGAGCACAATTTGAATATGAATTTCGAAACTGGGCAGTAGATGACATATTTTGGAACTCCATGAGAGAATTGTCTTCCTAACGACAGAGGCATATGTCTTTGGAGGAGAGTATTTTGCCCTTGATATAACAAAGGGACTTCTATTTTCAGATTGTTATGCCCCTGCCAGAATGACAAAATCAAATCAATCCAATGTTTTCTGAATTGATACATTTGTTGAGCAGATGCTATGTTGGAACAACGACATAGTTATTGTGATGGTCATGGAGACCAGAGGCAAGTTGGATTTGACAGCCTTGCCATGGAAATAATGATTTATGGGATTACTATAAATTGACAGGTTGCTTGAAGGCACATGCACACGTGCATACACACAGGCAGAATATGCATAATAACCTTTCCCTCATTTGGTCTATTCATGTCCCTCTGTCTCTAAACACAGTAATAAGTATAGCCTCGTTCTCCTTATAATTAACCTGTACAATCTGGTTAATTAAGATTCCAGTGGCAGATAAGACAGGCTCCAGATGTCAGCTGGATGTTCTTTGGCAAAAGGTATAGGCTAATACTTTGTCAGTCAGGGTGTCACTACTTGCTCTCTGGACTGTCTCAGAGTCACAGCTAAGAAGAAGCTAGCACTTGGAAAGCCTCCATTTGTACCCTGTACACTTCCTGTGATTTCCTGTTGCTGGTTTCCAGATGCATTAGGTTGAGCATATGTAGAAAGTTCCTAGCCTCACTGTGAAGGTCCTGGTACTAGTTGCTGTACAGTGGAGGTTACAGTACTCCATGGGGCAATGCTATGAGCAGCTCTGTTTACTACTTTCTGTCCTGGTACCTCAAACTGACATGGCTTTTCTAGTCCCTAAAGCCCCTTCTGTGTAGCTAGCCATAATCAAGCAAGGCCACAAGCTAAGAGCTCCAAAGTCAAGAGGTCTTTGTCTCTTGCTCTTCAACACACATCTATGCTATTTAATTACTCTTACAATATTGAAAGAGAAGAAAGACTCAGCTGCATTTCATAAAATTAGGGCTCCTTCTAGCAAGTTGCACATGCAGTGTCAAAGTAAAATGTTTGAAAATCATATTGAAATCCCAGGAAAGTGCTTGGCAACTCTTTCTTTCATTGTGTAACCATAAAGGTCCAGCTTATAAACAGAAACCCTCCTGGAAAATTAGATCCAAATTTAGATGCTCTGCAATGCAAAATAAGCAGAAGCAGTTAAAGAATTTTTAAAAATCTTAACAAGAAACTGTGAAGATAAAGAGTTGCTCAAATGTCTTATTATTTTAAAACTCTTTGAAGCTACTCACACAAGTTTGCTTTATAGTAAATAGTAAATAGTAAATAGATTATGCCCATTATTAATATATTTTATTTTTCAGTTTCTGGACAAATATTTATGAGCTAGTATCTGCATGAATAAAAAAAATGCAAAACATGTTGGTATGATGTTTTGGTGATTGATAAGTTCCATTTTAATAGTGTCATGAAGGGAAGTGCAGTCATGTGCCATTTCTCATCCCAAGGCTTTGAAAACAGTGCAAATATTGCTGGTAGTTTAATGGTTTGAGCATTGGACTTTGGAGACCAGGGGTTGTATCCCCATTTGGCCATGAAAACTCACTGGGTGCCCTTAGGCAAGGAAAACCCCTCTAATCAGATCTTGCCAAGAAAATTTCACGATAAGATTCCTTAGGGTCTCCATCAATCAGAAATTACTTGAAGGCACAGAACAGCAGAGATTTATAACAGAGCAAGTTTACTTCCTCACTTCATTCCCTGCCTTGAACTACCAGCGTAAATCAACATACCATAGCAAAACTACTAAAAGCCATCAACACTTTCTGTTGCACTAAACAGCTATTAACTTGGCCACAGTTCTGGCAAAAGCTCCACAACCCATATCCCATGTCGGAAGCCAAACTCATTACATTAGCTTTGGATATTAGTCTTTCTCTCATAAATTATCTGGTCTCCTTGCTTTGTCTTTTACAAAGTGTACTAATCCACAGTGAGATTCCCAGTTACAAAATTCTGTATTTTTGAAAGCATATATGTATTCTATAACATAAATGTAGAAGTTAATCAGCCAGGCACTCTGTATTTTGTTAACGAATAGCACATAAATAACTAAACAGTGTGTTCAGCCATTTATACATGTCATTTAGGTTCTTATTGTACATTGGGAATTTGACGTATAATGGCCATTTGCTTCTCTTACAGAAGGAGCTGAGTCTTCCAAGAAGAGGAAGTTTGTAAGTAACTGATTTCCCCCTTTCATCGTTTTGAGTGTATTCTGCATGAACCTTGTATGTTCCTTAATATGTCTTCTTTCAATGCTGGATGAAGTACTAGTATTTGATTTTGCATAAATAAAGTTAATATTGTAAACAAATATAATAGTTTGAGGCCCTTTAGTGATGGACTTCAAACTTCTATAGTATCAATACAAGGCAATGATCAGGGAGGGAAAGTAAACAAAAATGTAAAATATGTTCATTGGAGTTTTGTTATTATTAGAGTGCAATGTATTAATTACATTCATAACTGACACTTTGATACATAGCCATAATTTTATGACTTTACTTTAAACCTTTAATAGAGAACTTTGTTACTGTGTTACCTACATAAAATGCTAAATAAAAATAAAGTAAAATAAAATCAAATCAACATTGATTGCAAAAAATATCAATTTACACATTTTGATCTACTGTGAGACATATCCATTTATGTCTGATTTTGGATGGTAAGCAGGTTTGATGACTCTTTTAACTGATCATCCACAGAGAGCTCCAAGTAAGTTTAAGAAAAGATCCTGCCAGGATTTACAATACAGGGTTTGAAGGATCAATGGTCTGATAAATGAAATTTAGACAATTTAAACAATTTCAAACTAGTCTATTTAATGTAGCATTTAACCAGTTAAAATAAAAGTTGTGCTTAGAGCTTTGCAATAATTTTAATTTGTTTTATTGGTTTGTAAAATTAATTACAATCCACAAATATGATACTTCATTTTTAATAACTTTTTTTAAAAATGTATTAAAATATAACAGCATGTATAACATTAAAATGAAGGTATATAATAATGAGACCAAACAAATCAATATGAATGAAAGAAGAGATTTAATAAAGACAAAAAATAAATCAAATTGAAAGCTGCCTATTTGAGTCATTCTCTTGTTTAAACTATTGAGATGTCAGAAAGTGACAAGAAAAAAGAAGACTGCCAATTATTAGGTTGCCCAGGCATCCAGAAGATCTGAGTTGTTGAAGTTAAATACTTGAAAAAAGACATTATAGCAGAGCCATCCAGTTGTGTAATGAAAGAAGTAAAATTTTCCTGCTCTTTAAAAACTGCAGGTAACTTGAAATTTTGTTCTTGAATTTGTAACACCAGGCCGTAATATATTGTAGTGATGTTTGATTTTTTAAAATGTCTAACTCATTCAATTCTGCTTTCTTTCTAGAGAGAGCAAATAAAATTTGTGAATCACTTTGTGGTGTTGAGACCATTAAAAAAAATCTGTTAAATTTTTTTTTAAAAATCTGCCTCCTTCTTGACTAACCCCCTCCCCCCTTAAGACCGATTTAAGGTAACTCATAGAAATACTTCTGCAGACCTAAGCACAGAATAAAACCCCAACATTTTGCATTTGAAAATTTTGTTTAATAGGTCAGTTGAATTCAAGTGTCCTATTTTGGTATGTTGCAATTTCTCTTATAAGTTTCATGTTAGAATCAAGGAAGGGTGACCTGAACATTAAAATGGTGTCTAGTGAGACACTTATAATTTCATGTAAGAGACCTTTAAAGGGCTACATATTTTAAGAAATGCATAAATTGAGGTCATTTGCAGATGATTTAGTGATTGCATTGGAAAACTCTGTATATGAAATTGATCCATTGCTAAAAATATTACAAGATGTTGATGTGGTGGAATTTAAAATTAATAAACAAAAGACAAATGAAGTTATGAAAAAAACATTAAAATTTATTGAGAATTCTGGCTTTAAAATTGAGAAAAAGATGAAATATTTAGGTATTATTGTGTCAAACAAAAACTCAACATTTTTTCAAGATAACTATGTTGAAACCTGGGGTGAAATAAAATAAGGTGTTCACAGAAGGGATAAACTAAAGCTGTCACTATTAAGGAGAATTTCAGTTTAAAAAATCCCCAAAATGTTATTTTTAGTCTTTACGATATATTTTATTTAATAATGTTCCACTCAAAAATGGCAGAAAGATTTGTCAGAGTTTATATGCTGGGGAAAGAAACTAAAAGTGGAATTCCTCCGAAGATGCCAAGCAAAGAGGAGAACTAAGCATTTCGGATTTGAAATTGTATTTTTCTGCATATTGTTTGGTTTTGTTAAATATTTGGATAATGTTGAAAAATGATAAACTACTGGATTTGGGGGGGGGGGGCATGGTTTGAAATGTATTTTCATGTTTTTATAGTATGATAATGTGAAATCAGCTGTGGATTTTAATAATCGTTATGTGAGACGATGTAAATATAAATCTAGACTAAGTCATAAGGCACATTTATGGATTTCTATGGAGGAAGATTTTTATATAATTGGCAAGAATACAAACAGAAATGGGTAACATACCAATATCTTTCACTGTTTGATCAGGACAAGTATAGAATTAAAACAAATGGAAAACCGATATCTGAGGGGCATAATGTTCTATGGTTTTTTTTAATGGATTCAAAACTATGGTACCCATCAGAATAATTTGGAATTTGAATTACAGTTGTGTAGAAACAGTGAACATTTGCTTGGTAAAATGTTTAAATTGTATTAAAATTGAAATGTAGAAGAAACAAATTAAAGGTTGTATGGTAAAGTGTGCACAATATTTGAGTTACAGTATTCAGATGGATCAACGAGGAAAATGTGGTTGAAGGGGTTGACATTTATCCTGTGTTAATACTTCAAGGAGAACTGTTATAGAATGGGGTATTGTTAATATTTGGTTTCACAGAAAGTGACTAAAAAATATAAAGGGGTTACTAATATATGCTGGAAATGTAAACATATATGTTTATTATTATCATATGTTACGATAGACTTGTGGGAAAACAAAATGAAAACACACACACAGAAAAATGTACCGTGTTTGAATCAGAAAATATTTAAGCGAAAAATCCAGTTAAAAATAGATTTCTTTTTGTTGAAACTATGGATGAACAAATAGAGAAGCAGCACAAGAAGGTGGTACAAAATATTGTCATTGCAGCAAGATTATCATACATCTGCAATGTCACCAATGTTTTCTGTCAATGTTGTAAATTCTCTTTACTGGTTGGGTCTACGTAGTCTTTTTGTAGATCCTTTTGAATATCTACTGTGAACTTTTGAAAAGTTCTGGTATTGAAGTGGTGGTTGAGGAATCAGACATGGAATGGGGAACAGGGTGGTAGAGCACTTTTCTGTTTCCCGCTTTTGTTCTTATGCATGCCTGGAGACATGTTCAAATCTGCAGGAAGATTGTTCTCATTCACAGCGATCCAAGGTTCTTTAGGCAGAAAATACAAAATTTAAATTCCCTTCTGCTAAACAGTTCACTGACCTTTTAGTTCCACTCATCAAATCTTCATAGATCTCAAGTGTTAACACTGTTTTAAAAGTTTTGAATGTATTCATTAGGAGTGGCTTTGATCAGCGCTCAAGTTATGCATCCACCATTTTGGGCAGTTAGCCATGCTCCCCTGATACCTCATAGTTAATTGCATTATGTATGCTTATGTGCTTTCTCTTCATTTCTCTAATAATACAGCCTTGTTTGTCATCTAAGAAATAATTCACACTGTGTCCACTGTATATTTGTTATTCCATATAAGCTTGAGTTTAAAAATTCATTTTAAATTGGATGTTAATGTTTGTGCTGCTCTTCTTTGTCAACTTTATATTTTTATCCCCAGGATGCATCAGCAAAATGAATACACTATACCCTATGGCAAAGAGATATTATATAATAGCAGTCAGTGTATAGAATGTACAATGTATATCCAGTATAGAAGTAACACACAACTGCAAATGTAACAGATTAAATTAAATATCTTTTATTACATTTTAAGCAGCAATTGATGTTTGAAGTGGATCAAATCTGTGCATATCACAATTGATGTTTCCTGTCTGTTGCTAAATATGAAACAAGAATATTTCTAAGATATAGTCACGTTATCATGTGTAGAATCAGCTTTTTAGCAGGATATTCTGAAATGGCTTTCCTCTTGAAAATTGGGGAGGGATATATTTCCAGGGGTTTGTGGGCAGGGCTAGGGCTTTATTCAAAAGGGGAGTGATGAAGCATTTGGTAGCAACATTTGTATCAGTGCTCTCTCTTGTTCGCCTTCATTTTTCTATTTGCACAAATAATTTGTTCGAGCACAGCCAGTTGCAACTAATACAAAGACAGTGACTTCATTCTGGCATACAACTGCTGTCTCAGAAACTACCTTTATATATTTCATTTATTTATTTATTATGACTATATTCCTATCCCACTCTTATCTCTTCCTGAGGGGGACTCAGAGTGGTTTATAATTTGGCAAGATTCAATGCCACATTATACATACAAAAAGCAATACATAACATAATTAAAATCAATAAGCATATAATTACAAATTAAACCATAAAAATATACAAGTAAACATAAAATATTAAACATTGCACCGGTCCCATAGTTATCATACCTTTGAAGGATTTGGAAAAGGAAACTGACAGCCAAATATCAGTGTGAGAAATGATGTTAGAAAGACCATAGCCATAGGAAAAAGTATTCTTTAAAAAAACCCACAAACAAACAATGCCAACCACTTTTCACTTCCATCCTGCAGATACGGAACATTTTTATCAGTTCTGTAGAAATCTAGCATGGACACTACAAATTTATCAGAAGGCACTAGCAGTGGGATCCTTATTTCAATCCTTTAGTTGCAAAAAAACTTCTAAAACTAGCTGTCTTACTCTGTGCTACTCAGGTGTTTATATGATTTAGATCAATCGTTCTCAACCTGGGGTCCCCAGATGTTTTGGCCTTCAACTCCCAGAAATCCTAACAGCTGGTAAACTGGCTGGGATTTCTGGGAGTTGTAGGCCAAAAACATCTTGGGACCCCAGGTTGAGAACCACTGATTTAGATGAATATGCAACCGCTGGACATAATTCTTATCAATACATTGCTTGCTAATTACACTTGCATAGCACCCCTAGACTCCCTATTCCTTTGAATACTGAAA